GAAGAATCCAAGAATTTGAGCTGTAATTGAATTTGCAAGAAATGAGAGATCTCCACCAAGAGTTTGGCTCAACATGGAACCTCCAAAACCATTTAAGGAGTAAGGAGGTGTTGAAGCTATTCTATATCTTTGATAGACAATCCTCCCATAGAGAGTGGCGCCTTGGTGATCTTCCAATCAACTAAGTGAATTTAACACGACCCTTAACCTTAAGCACGGAGGTGGGATTGCAGTGCAGAAAAAATTAATAGTTCAAAAAGACCAATATGTCCTTCCATTAGTTGCACAAGAAGCTAGGATTTTACATTTGCATATGTTCCCACGCGGAACGTGCATATACTGTTAGAGGATATAAATAAAATAAAGATAAAACTAGGAGTGACTATTTGGTTCGGCCTTTTTGGTTTTACTCGAAATCGGATTGTATAACCCGGACCGAGACCGAGACCGGACCGGGACCAGATAGTAAACAATCTAATCCCATCTTCGGGTTTAGATTTGAGGTAAAAAATTGTTCGGGACCGGATCAAAACCAGATAAAGACCGGATATGTGAGCCCAACACCCAAAATTTAACCAACTCCTCACCCTTTCAGGCCTCAGACCACTAAAATCTCCACAAGTTCAATCTAAAATCAAGACTGAATTGGGACCGGATCGGATCAAGACCGAACTGTATCCAATCCAATCTTTGGTGCTTATATTCCCAAAAAGATTGGTCTGGAACCGAATCAATTCGGACCAATTTAACCGCAGCGGTCCGTATAGCCACCCTAGATGAAACCCCTGCTTATCCTTCTCAATTCTCAATACTTTTTCCTCCTTTCCTTTAATATCTTTTGCTTCCTATTTCTTCTATGGTCAAATCTGATCAAATAACTACCCCATTTTTCGATGATCAAACTGAGGGGAAATCATATTCGAGAAAAAAAAGGGCAAATGGGTGAATCGACAACGTGAGTGATACAATTTTGGATTGGATAGATAAATTGATAGCTATGAAGAACAAGAGGTCAATTTCTTCTCTTTTCTTCAATATGGGGGATTTCAATCATGTTCAGATGGGAGTTGGTCGGACAGTACATGGCGAATTGACTGTTAGTCAACTATTTTGATCGTCAAACATAACGGTCAATTCTTGGGTTTGATGAATTAAATAAAATTTAGGATTAGTTCAGACCACGATATTATATATTAATGTGAAAGATGAAGAAGTTTGGACCAGACAAAAATATTAACTCATGGAGAAGAAATTTATTTAGAATGAAGGGACTTAATCCCTAGAAGCAAGCGAAATTTATCTATCTTGATTAGAAGGTTGTGTTGTTTTTGTGCAAATTGTTTAATGTGATTCACTAAAACCTTTGATAAGATTATCGAGTGTATGAACATGCTTAAGTTTAGTAGGGCTCTTTTCTCTTATAATACATTTGTCATCATGATTACTTGCAAACTAAAACAACGAAAGGAAAAAAAATTCAATTAACATTGATGCATGGGTTAACAAATAACGATCCAAGAACTCTTATAATATCTTTGCCGTCATGATTACTTGCAAACTAAAACAGTGAAAAGAGGAAAAAAGCCAATTAACATTGATGCACGGGTTAGCAAATAACGATCCAAGAACATCACTCAAGCCGCAGCGGAGCGCGGCACAAACTTACCTAGTATCCCTGTACAATCAGCTCTTAGGAAGACGTCGAGTGGAATCCTGCAATGTACAAAATCCATTTTTCCCTACATCTCTACACAATTCTCCATTTCCAATCCCAAATCAAAAAAGTTTTCATTCATCACTAGCTTATAACCCGGCCTGTTGGCCGGAATATTCATATTTCATTATTTATATTTTCATATTACGTTTAAATCTATCAACCCGTTTAATTTTATTGACAATCCTTCGATCGAGATGATACATAAAAAAGAATATATAGATCGAACATTCGCAATCCTACATAAAGTTCAATGCTCTCGTTTGAAGAACAATATGTCACTAATCAAAAAGAAATACAGAGTTGTTGATTCAAATAAACTATATGCTAACAACTCAGCTAAGATGGGACCATCACGACTTGAGAGCAAACGCCAAAATTAGGGTTACCTCCAATATACTAAAAGACTCAAACAAAGTAATAAGGAACAAAATTAGACACTCCTTCTCTATCAGTTCCAGTAGGTTGAATAAAGAATCGACCTACCTACTTCAGTAAATCATTGGATGATTCCTCGTTTTAAAATAGAATTAGGTTGCGATAGCTTTAAAAACCATAAACCTAAAGATCCAAAAGCCACCACTCTCCATTGTACAATACAAAATTTATCCACTCTATCTTCAATCTCAAGAGGCATATGTTTCAACTAAAAATATAATTTTTAATCCACCTTCTGCACCTCCATTTATTGAACTAAATTATATTTGCCATGGGTTGATATCATAGTTGAAATCTTTTACTTTCCCCGTTTAAATCCCCAAGAATAAAATTATAGTGCCAAGAGACTGGAGACTGGGGCGCAAACTATTGCACGATATAGGGAATTTCAGAGGAAGTTAGAAAGAGATAAGAACAATGATAAAAAGGTACAAATTTAAGTATAAATTGAAAAATGAAAGGACGCAACACGTAGTAATAGAATTAATTTCTTCCATGTTGGCCAATTACCAATTTACCTTTAGCGAATATTAAGGAGAGAGCAATGATTTTAGAATTGAGAAACTACATGAAACTCTGTTATGAAAATTACGGTATCAAGCACCCTAAAATACGGTAGACTTAGTGCGCTTGCTAATCATGATGAAAAAATCCTCTAATTTTCAGAGTGTCTCTTTGTGTATGTTTGTATTAAAAAAGATACAAAAAGTTTGTTTAGTATAATTGGTTGTGATTGTTGTCTTTGTTTGAAGAGACTTGGGTTCAAATCTTGATATATTAACATTTTTAATATGGAATAAATAATTAATTGTAAAGACAAAAATGTACTTACTACTTTCACTCTCATTGCAAAAATTTTGAAATAGAGAAAAGTAAACAAAACTCTGCTATATATTATTGGAGGGTAAATGCCAAATTTGGTCACTAAGATTACAAAATCATGTCACGTTTAGTCATTACAAAAAATTAATAACAATTTTGGTCACTCGAATTACTGAAACATGTCACATTTAGTCACCCTCCGTTAGCCGTGACATTCATAAAAAAAAAAAGTAATTCGAGTGACCGAAGTTGGACGGAGTCTAACGAGAGAGTGACTAAATGTGACCTGTTTTAGTAATTCGAGTTGCCAAAATTGATATTAATTTTTTCTAGTGATTAAACATAACATGATTTAGTAATCTCCGTGATAAATGTGGCATTTACCCTATTGGAGGATTGGACTTAAACCCTACATTCCTCCTAGCTAGAGACAATGAATTGAAAGAAGCTTCAATCGTCATGGCGCTCTATTGAACAAGACTTTGCACTTTGCTTGGAACTATCATGAAGAAATCATCGGAGAGCTTCGTATGGTAATTGATGGATAATCTTTGTTATATATCCAATTCCAATTGGATGCACTCAAATATAGAATTGGCTACACAACCAAGAACTTGAGTGGCAAAACAAAAATGTTTCTGGACAGGGATCTGGATACTGGGAGTAACTTGACGACACCGATGGGAGGAGATCTACAAGTGTCCAAAGAGTTTGTGTGTCAGAGAAAACATTTTGTGTGATAATTGCTTTTCAATTTTAATTTATATTTTTAATGGTTTGTTTTTAACTTCTTAAGATAAATAATTTTGTGTTACGGTCTAACAAGAGATGGAGGAAATTATAAATGGATTCACAATTCATTGACTTTCATGGTATCTGGTGCCCTATTTTCACTTTAGTGGTACTCTCCCTTAATTCTCATAATTTAGTGGTATCTGGAGTATTTCTCTCCGTGTTTGTAATCAACGGAAAAAAAATCTAGTAATTAAATATTATAATAATTAACCAGAATTTTATTTTCAAATCTAGTAACCAACTAAATAGGTTTTCATTTTTAGATTCTAGCTTCAGAATCATAAAAGTAACAAACAAACATGTTTTTATCTCAAGAAACAGTAGCATTTTTCAAGATTGATTTTTTGTTGTGCCAACCACAGAAAAACGAAATGACAAGTGCACGGCCATAATCCAACTCAAATTAAACAAGTATAGGCATATTGTCTCGTACACCTATCTATTTAACTTGAATTTTGGATTTTATGTCCAACTTAACTAGATTGGTTAGAGGTTGGACAAAATTGTCATCATTTAGCTCTGATGTTGAGTTATTCGGTTATTCCATTTGACAGTCACGTAACAACACAACAAACTATTTCAACACCCTTGATTTCACCTATTTCTGCGACAAACTTTTGAACCTGAAACCGATGAACGTCAGCAATGAGCCATATTTGTAGAGGCAACTCAACTTCCAAGAAAAAGTTATCGTAAAAAATTGGTCTCTAGCTCTTTTTATATCCAATAAATTAAACTCATGAATGTCATGCAAGAGTAGCTCAGAGTCTTTTCCAACCGGCAGACCGATGAATTCCCTAGTTAGCTCAGACACTATTATTTATCTTCTTCCCGTCAATGTAGCTCTGAAAAAGTCGGCTTTCTGCTTAACAATAGTGAACAAAGGAAAAGCAGATTCCAACACGCAACTATAACCAAACTTTTCTTCCTGCGTAAACAATGTGAAGAAGGTTGCAGTTAAGCTAACACATGGACAACTACCACGACCAAATTCCAAGTAACAGCACAGCCGGCTAAAATGGCACAAAGCAAAGTATATAGCACTACTCTCACATTGGCAACTTCTTACCATAGCCAACAAGAAGAAAAGAATAACAAACAAAGAGCTGTCACTACAAAGGGACAAAGCAAGGAATACGGATATGCAACTTCCCAATGCAGCTGCTCAGGTTAAGAAAAGAACAATCAAAGTTGAAACGACAAGAAACGAACATATGTACAACTTCTTCTAGTTTCCAAGTAAAGGGGTTAAGCTGATGGATAATAGATTAAGAGCAAGCAGTAAGTAAAAGGCAACTGTTCTTGACATTCATGTGCAGAGTTATTCTTACAAAAGGACACTGATAATGGTTAACCTACAAACAGAACGTCCCCTTTAGCATTCTTTCATCCTCATGACATGGCTTCTTTCTTGGTCAGGGAAGGGAACGCCCTTACCCACGACCTACTTAGTGAGAAGCCAACAGGGTATATTGACTGTACAGACCAGGAGAAAGGGGGGCAATAAAAAAGAGTAAGCAGATATGCAATCAGTGGCTAGTCAAAACTCGATGTGCGGCTCCACCTCCCTTGTAAATAGTCTTCTACTGTGACACCATGTTCACTACTGGTGATGGAAATGGAATCATCCTGCAGATCTAGCAATGCAACATTAAGATGGGATTGAATGCCGCTTGGATCTGTTCCCCCTTTAGTAGCATTACGATGCTCTGATTGAGCGATTTCTTGATTTGCCCAGTTTGTTACTTCACTATCACCTTGGAGCAGCTTCAGAATCTGCCAGTCACAGAAACCGCATCATGAAAAAAGGGGCCAATTTTGGAACTAAACATCACACATATTCTTATAAGGCTAAAGCTTCACTCACAAGGCTGATTTGTGGCCGAGATTTGGGACAACTTCTGATGCAAAGAGTCGCAGCCAAGACCATTCTGTCAATCTCATCCTCTGCATTCTCAGTTTCTATATGCGAATCCAGGAAATGAGACTGTTTACCGCCGTGTAAAATCGGTCTTGCCTAGAAAACAAATTAAATTCTAGAATTAGTAACTATCTTCAAAAGCTAATCCACATTACAGTTTCAAGTTAAACATTCAGTTGGCATTTATCAAACAGATTATAGAAAGAATTTGCACATGACTAACATACTTGATAGCACAAAGTCTAAGGAGAGGAGACATGGAACTTATCATCCACAACATTTCAATTTGATTACTCTATATCCTTATCCATTCAGATTGAGTTTCGTATCAGCATTGGGGGTACAAGGGTTGCAGTGTTGAGAAACCATACCCACATAATAAGGCTCTCTTGGCACTGACTATCTTGACTCGTGATTGCCATTCTGCCAGAGAGAAGCTCAAGAAGCACAACACCAAATGCGAAGACGTCTAATTTGTCACTCATTCTGCCATGCATGAAATACTCCGGAGCCAAGTAACTGCAATTGGCCAATTAGGAATCGTGAGCTATAGCCCTGTACAAACTCTAGAATAAATGACAGAAATATGTTTATGAAGAGGGTTAATTATTCACCCAAATGTTCCTACAATGTCGCTGTTAGGCCCTTCTGTCAAAGAACTCATCCAACAAGCTAGTCCAAAATCAGACAGCTGATCGGACATGCCAAGTTAAAGAGAAAATCAGATAGAGGCATAGCTCAGTTTTAAGAGAAACAAATGAAGTTATAGGAGGGATTTTAAGTAGCAGGATATAGAACCTGTGGCTCAAAATCATCTGAGAGAAGAACATTTGAAGATTTCACATCCCTGTGAATCACAGGATGATCACAGTGGTTGTGTAAATAGTCAAGGGCTTCAGCTACACCTACAGCCACCTTGTGTCTCTCTTGCCAACCAAATGTTCTCACGTCCTTCTTAATGCCTTTCAGTTTAATGCAACAATTGGTGGTTAGGAAACAAATAAACAATGAGGTAAGAAATATCCAATGCATAGATCATTTACCGTGAAGGTTCTCTTCCAGGCTTCCTCTTGATAAAAACTCATATACCAAAAGTAATTTACAGTGATCAAAATAGAAGCCGAAGAGTGATATTATGTTCTTGTGATGTAAAGTCGTGATCATCTCAATTTCCACAATGAACTCTTTTACCACATCTTCAGATGGCTTCAAGATTTTCACTGCCAATTCCTTGCCACTAAGAAGAAGGCCTTTATAGACATGACTACTACCACCAGTTCCAACCATGTTCTCTGGAAATAAATGAAAGAACAAATAAGGTGGGGAGGCTACGATTTTCTCTATTAAACTTGGTAGCATGAAATTTAGGGGAAATGGTAAAATACCTGGAGCAAAGTTAGAGGTGGCTACCACGAGTTCTTCATAACTGAACCATCGACACATTGATGAATATTTTTCATATAAACCCTTCAACTCCTCGGGAAGGCTATCTGAGAAGGAGGGTGAAACAGGTGATAACGGTGCCAATCCCACCTTAGACCCTATTGGTACAATAGTACCGCTCTGTCCTTGAAGAATTGCCGACTTATCTTTATGTGAACGAGAACCACTCTGCCTTTGATCAGGATACACAACTGATGATGAATTCTGGGTTGGTAGTTTCAGGAACCGTCTTACAGCCTTTGAAGCATGAAATCTCTTTGTGTTTTCTTGCTTTCCTGAAAAAGTCTGGCGAACAAGCTTCCAACCCAGTTTGTGATGATCTGGCAGCAATTCACTCCTCACATTAGAATGTGAAGTTGACTTACTCTCACTCCCCCGATACGGCACCAAAGCTCTGGAACTACGGGCTTTATGAGCAAGACAAGATACTCCAGCTTCCGTTTCATCCTTCACCAACAAGCTTGACCCGCAATGCAGAGAATTCACAGCCAGCATTTTCTGAGAAGAACTAAGCTTTTCCTGGATCGATCCATCTGCCACCACAAAATAGGATTCAGACCAGTTACCAACCCACAGTTAATACGGAAATTCATTGCTACACTTAACCACATTGGAGCATGACATAGTTAGATCCAAAAGAGTTGGTAGGAGAAATTCTGAAACCTTGTGAATGATCCCCATTTGCTGCTCTCTCATACATAACTTTGCCATTGCTAATAGCAAACACGGAGCAAGTACTCGACAATTTCTTGGAGCAGTACTTGGCTATGGTGATCGTAGGACGGATTGTGTGATTTCTCTTAGAAGTCCCAACAATGATTTTTGATGCACCATTAACTTTCGCCTCCCTCACCAGAACTCTCTTTACGGAGTCACCCCTGCACACTTTAAGCTTCAAATCCACCTGAAATCCAACATTTTCCCAGATCATTCACCCAGAAATATCATGAAATAGTCAATTTGATTAGGGAGAGGAGGGAGAGAGAAACAGAAGGAAGTTACCTGCTTTAAGTTGCAGAAACCTTCGTAAACCGCCAACAAACAATCAAATGTCTTCACCAAAGCCAGAAGCGATCCCGTTCCTCCTTCAATTTCTGCCACACCCAAACGAGAAACCAAAATGGAAAAAAAAAAAAAAAAAGGAAATTGACGTTAAGAAGATCGGAAATCAAACAAACACGGAAAGAGAAGGTAAAGTTTATTTAGAATCAACCTGCGGAGGCGGTGGAATTTAGGACATGAAGAGCAATGACGCGGTCCCCTGGTTTGGTCGCTTTCATCAGAGCCCATGTGAGCAGCTCCTTGCTCTGTGAGTCCAACCTCACTCCAACCAACACCACTTCCTTTCCCCTACTGCCGCCGGCGTTACTACTGCCGCTGACCGCCGCCGTTTCTTCGTCCGTGAGCTTCATCGCTCAGTGTCGTCTGGGTTTCCCAAAACTGGTCTGTGAGGAGGTTGGGCAGTCATGAGAAATTAATAATAAGAATAAGAATGAAAATACGATTACCCATGGAGGCAAAACTCTGCTTTTTTGGCCATTTGTTATTGCGGGCAGAGGCAAGATGAAACAAACAGGGAATCGGATCCCCGTTGCTCGCGGGTTGCAGAGAGAGCATTAACTATTTTCAAAGCTGTCTTTTCTCTCTCTTTCAGATTACTTCTTGAATAATGATAATCTCCTTTGTTCACCAAATAACATCTAATAATCTCGAATTATTACCTCTCTTTTCATAATCGAACCACGAGCTGAACCGAAAAAGTTAGTGGTTTAGGGTTTAATGGTTAACCGTTACAAAATCGTTGATAAACCGTTCATGATATATAACATACAAGACTTGTATATCACACTAATTTAAGAATGAAGTTATCATTGATCATAAACAATTTTAAATTCATATCATCACCAAAATATCTAATAAATCATTGAAACCGTCTCATAGAAGAAATCATAAGTTTTTTAATTCAAGTTAAAAATCATGGTGCCAGTTGGTAGTAGATCACATAAAAACGACAACAAGGTTGAAAAATGAGAAGACGTATATAAAATATATAATCATGGTGTGATGGTCTTAGTTTACGTTAAAGTATTTTTTAAAAAACTTTTTGCTTAAAATAGTTAACTAGTGGACTAGTTAAACCGCAGTGGTTCATCTAGTTTTATGTTGAACCGTGAAAAATTGTTTGGCCCATCAATAACCGTCCAAGCAATGAACCGGACCGCTATCATAACTGGTTTGACGGTTCTACTGGCCCAACCGTTGATCCGGTTCGGTTCTTATAACAATGGGTATTTCTAATATCATTTTTTTCGTTGAATATAATAACATTTTGTACCCCTCTAAATTTTTTAACTAATATAATCTTCTAAAATTAAAACGTAACAAATTTATCCTTTCATCCAATTATCTGTTAAGTGGCCATTAGATGTGAAATGACTCAATTACCCCTCATTTACCCTTAAATACTCCTAATTTCACTTTTAGTTATTTTATGTTTCAAATCAATTAATTAATAAAATAAAATAGGCAAAATACAGCTGTATATCCACAACTATCAAGTTTGTGACAAATATATCCACAACTATCGAAATACACGAAATATCTATTTCCGTCCACTCCGTTAACTCCGTCAGTTAACTCGATGACTGGGCAAACGGTAGATGCTTAGTTGGCGTGTTTCTAACCCCACTAAATGATGTGGATTAAAAGAGAAAAAAATTATGCAAAATACAGTTGTATATCCACAACTATCAGGTTTGTGACAAATAGATCCACAACTATCGAAATACACGAAATATCCAAAAATCGGAAGGTTGTGTGACAAATCTATCCACTCTCGTCTGAAACTATAACGGCGTGTCAGATGACGTTAAATTGACTAACGAAATGTTGAATCAATGTCATCTCACCTGCCACATAAGCCAAAAAGCAACAAAACTTTACACCGCTACCTGTTAGACCTCACTGCTGCAGTCTTCTCTGTTGGCGATTTGGTTAGATTCAAGTTTTTTTTGTTTGAGATTCAAGCTTGGTATCACCATGGCGCTGACTGCATGGAAGCCATCGGAGTAAAAGGGAGGCAATGGTTGGAGATTGTGGCTGGAATCGAAATCTGGGCTTGGGGTAGGGTTATTTGGGGTGGAAGCGTTGATCGGAGGAGGATTAGTGGTTATCGGGCGTGTTTTTGGGTTGGATTTTTAGTCTCACCGTCTGTGGTTTTAGGGTTTTTAAATTTTTTTCTCTTTTAATCCACGTCATTCAGTGGGGTCAGAAACACGCCAACTAAGCATCCTAAGCATCCACCATCTGTCCAGTCATCAAGTTAACTGACGGAGTTAACCGAGTGGACGAAAATGGATTTTTCGTGTATTTCAATAGTTGTTGATATATTTATTACAAACCTGATAGTGGTGGATATATTTGTCACAAACATGATAGTTGTGGATATACAGCTGTATTTTGCCTTTATTCAACTAGCCTATTTGGCATCTGCGTGTAAAGTTTTGTTGCTTTTTGGCTTATATGGCAGGTGAGATGGCATCGATTCAACATTCCGTTAGTCAATTTAACGCCGTATGACACGTCGTTATAGTTTCAGACGGAATTGGATAGATTTGTCACACAACCTTCCGGTTTTTGGATATTTCGTGTATTTTGATACTTGTGGATATATTTGTCACAAACCTGATAGTTGTGGATATACAACTGTATTTTGCCAATAAAATAACCCAAACTAAATCACACCGAAGCCGCTCAAGCTCTTCCTCAAAGCCGCCGCAACCCCCGCCGTCTTCCTCCGACATCTCTCCCCTCGATCTGGATATGGTGGTTTCAATTAATTGTTTCTCGTCGGCGAATAATCGATAGGGTTCCCCAATTGTTTGCCTTCTCGATCATTCCATAGGAGAAACACAGTTCCTTTCTTTTTATTTGGTGGTTGTGCGTCTCTCTTTCTTTTCTAAATATTGTTTTGACTTTTGTGGTTCTAAACTCATCCAACTGTGCAAATCTGTGGGTTTTTGGGAGATTAAAATTGGGTTCTTTCTCAATTTTCCCAATTCGATTGGGATTCGATGGAACAATTGAGGCTTGCTTTTATAGAACTGAATGGCTAAACGTCGCCCTAGTTTTACTATAATTGCCCTAAATTAAAACTGGAAATTACATAAATGTCCAAGAAAAAATCACAACCAAACACATTCTAATATACCCGTCGACCTCCACCCCCATCCACCGCCACCCAATCTGCCGCCGCAGAATCCCTCCCGTCAAAGTCGTCGGTGTGTCCACGTCCAGCCCCAGCCACCACCACCCAATCCGCCCCACAGAATTCCTACCTTCATATATATTAATGTCGTCCACCTGCCACCGCCAACCATTCCATCGTCATATCCAATTATCTACGTTTTTGCCTCTTATGTTCTACCGCCACCGTCTTTCTCATCGACGACTTGGTAAATCATAAAAAATGACATATAAAAGTAACTTTGCTTGGTTGGATTCATTCCTTGCAGGCGGCAAGGTGCAAATTTATGAGAGATTTTGGGAATCTAAGGTGTTGGAAGGAGCCCCGCACACACGACGAAATAATTGGTGGCCATTCGTGGAAATTAGTGGCGGCAGATATTGTCAATTTCTTTTTTGTTGGATGATTTGTATATGTTTGGAATAAAATATTTTTTAGCACTACACGAAGGATGAAAACGTATTTTAAACTTTTAAATTAGGGCGGTTATAGTAAAATCTGGGCGACAATTAGCAACTCCCTTATAGAAAGTTAGAATTTTCTTGGAATCGACGAAGCAGTCCATGAGGTCAACCGAGTGAAGTGATGGGAAGAGGGGAGAGATGTCGGAGGAAGACGTTGGGGGCTATGACGACTCTAGGGAAGAGCTTGAGCGGATTCGGTGTGAATTAGTTTAAGTTATTTTATTAATTAATTGATTTGAGACATAAGATAATTAAACTAAAATTAGGAGTATTTAAGAGTAAATGAAGGGTAGTTGAGTGAGTTCACAACACATTTAACGGCCATTTAACATATAATTGGATGAAACTGTAAATTTGTTACGTTTTGATTTTCGAAGAGTATGCTTGTGCCAAAATTTAGATGGGTAAATTTGTTAATCTACCATAGTAGAGGGGTACAAAATGGTATTAATCCTTCATAATAACTTACTTCGGTTAGTTATTCTGAAATCTCACATTATTTTGGTCTGTTCCAAACTTATCCTCTTTCTATTCTTCACCCACCCTCTTCGCCGTCCAGTTCATCCTCCTCCGGTTTAGAGGTAGACAAGATTCGCTCTCTCTCCTCATCTTTGTTGTCATTACTCGTTCTTGCCATCGTCGCCCTCTCTCGCCGCGCCGAATCAATCACTCGTCCCATCCTCCGTGATTTTGCCGGATATGTTAGAATAAAGAAAGAGGGGATCCAGGTACTAAAGCGGGTTGTCGACGACATCTTATTGGCGGCATCTAAGCCATATTCTTGCTTTGGATTTCTGGGTTGAAGCTCGGAGGTCGAATCAAAGTCGAAGGTTGAAACTCGATATCGATTTCTTTCGAGCACGAAGATCAAATCTAGGTCTCTGAGTTGAATCTCGAAGGTTGAATCAAAGTCGGAGTGTGAAGCTCAACACCGATGGAAGGGGGAAATGTATCAAATATGAGAGTGATAAACACTATAAATAAAGTGTCATCAACCTCCACTAGAAGAAGAGCAAGATGCCCCCACCATTCAATAGATCTTGGATGACTTCATCAAAGAAGAAAATTCATCTAGCTCGATGGAGGAAACTTCAAGCCACACCCATCAAGAGTTCAACTCAATTTGGGAGGAGAAAACGGAGGAAGACTGCACCTTGGATCTTAGAAAATAAGAAACCTCTACATCACGATCCACAACAAAAGAAGAAAAGCACGAAGTAGCCATCCCGCACTATTCATAGAAGAACCAAGATTTAGAGAGGATGAACCCATTCAATATCTCATTTTATCACCTTTTCAAGGATCTACACAACCCTTGGAAAATAAGAATCTTGAAGAAGTAAGAGTTTAGTATAAAGAATTCACCATTCATACGAGCATTCTTGGTGGAAAGATAGAGGATGTTCCTTAAGTTAAAGACCCTAAAGACAATTTTGAAATCAAGGTGGAGATGCATCAAGGGGCCAAGCCATATCTCGATAGACTACTTAATGAGGATCCATATGCAGTATTTATGGAGTGCCATGAGACCATAGTGTCATATCTAACCCAAAGAGGGGAGTATATGAGTTACCTCTACCACATGCCTAAAATTCAAAGTGTGGGGTAAAAGGTGCAAAGTGGAGACTAAGGTGGTTGTTGCTTCAAACAAAAAGAAGAAGAAAGTTGGTATATACTTGGAGCCTACAATCAAGACGGTAGACTTCAAGGAAGCCTTAAGTTGGGGACCTTGAAGGATGAAGAGCTATGCCTAGCTCAAAGGCATAAAAGAAAGAGTGCTTCATGGGAGGCACCCATATCTGGCATCCAACTTATTAATGAGGTAAAATAAAAGTGCTATTGTGGAGAAGGTTCGAATTTCTAAGTTTATTTTAGTTTCAACTTTATGTTGGGGAGGAGAAGCACTTGCT